TTTTTTATTTAAAAACTGGTGAGTTTTTCGAAAAAACTCTTAAACACGTATATTTTATTTTGTTGTTTTACATATTTTGAGATTTTTACAAAATATATACAGGGTGTTTCATAAAATATGACCACTGAGTAATCACTATTCTGCTTAAACTGCTTGACGTTTAAAGCTGATTTTTGGTAAACGGATTGACTGTGGGGTGTAGAGGTGCGATAAGGAGGGGTTTCTCGAATCTCAAATTCCAAGAGGGTGAAAACGCCCCTCAAATATTACAATATTTATTATTTAAAAAACGGTTAGTCTTTCGGGAAAACGATTGGACACGCATAATTTATTTTGTTTTTTTACATATTTTGAAATTTTTTAAAAAATAATACAGGGTGTTCCAAAAAGTTGAGTAATTGATTAACCACGATTCTGCTTAAACTGCTCGACGTTTAAAGCATATTTTTGGCAAATGTGAGAAAATTTTATCCAGTTTGTATGTTAATGGAAATTCTTGCTTTGCTTTATCATCACCATTACAAATTAATAATTCGATGCGAACGAAGTCGCGGGTACAACTTAACAAGTATAGCTAGAGACGTGAGAAATATAAAATAAGAGACGCCCCCCGATGCGCAGTGGACATCCCACAAATTTGCTTCAATCAGATTTTTCGTAGCGTAACTGCATCTCTCTTCCGCCGAATGCGTTCTCTCTCTATCGTGTGCGCGACCGGTGCTATCCCCAAGTCTCTTCCTATATTTGTCAAACTGTACATGCTAGTTTAAGTGTAAAATTAATTCGAACTCTAGTGTGTAGTTGGTTTACTTATGAAGAATATACTACACATTTTCTTATATTGCTATTTTTTGACCGCAAATGGTAAAATCATAACGAAGAGCTTCTCGCCCGTCGAGTGAGATGCACCCTGTACACTGCTACGCAATTCAGAATCTACGCGGATCGAGGGGTAGGGCTAGGTAGATCGGAATTTATAGATATAGACGAGTGGCGGCATTTTGGCTTTTTTATATCGCAATTTGTAAACAGCGCTTATTTGTAAACAACCCCCGTTTTTAGAGAGGTATTTTAGATAACAATCGATATTTAGAAATGTTTTGACACCCTGGAAATACTACCACCGAGCACGTCATTGTTGCAACTGCGTTAATACGCCTGGCGGTGACCGCCTCATATTCTTTCAGATATTTAGCAATAAAATAAAGAAACCTGTTATTTTTAACCTGTTATTTTAAGCTGTTTTTTATAAATAACTATAACAGTTTCAACTGTTATCGAAAAATAACAGTTTTGCCCATCACTAGTAAATTGGCCAGCAAGGTCTCCTGATATTTCGCCAAATGATTCCTTTCTCTGGGGTCATTTAAAAAACAGGATATACAAGGATAAAAAATACCCAAATCTAGACGAATTAAAAAATGCTATTTCTGCCGAATGCAATAAAATTTCAGTTTACCAACTAGCGAATGTAAGAAGAGAATTTTATGATCGCCTGGGTTATTGTCTAGCAGTCGATGGAGGAATATTTGAACATCTTAAATCCTAAAGTTCTAACAATTTAATAGTACCTAAATTAATAAATTATTGAATATTGTAATAATACTATAATTAACCTCGTAATTGATTACTTTATTTTACTTTAATTCATATTAATTTGTATTTATAAATACATCTTTAAGATTTCCGATGTAGGAATGAGTTTTCAATAATAATAAAGCACTAAATAGGTAAATTTCTGAAATGACAACTTCATTTGACAGTTATCTTTTACCTTGACTGGTGCTTATAAGTAAATACAGGGCCATAAGAAAGGAGAAATATTTAAAAAGAAATCGGCGATAACTCGTAAACGAGCTAATCAAAAATATCTAAAGTTATTCTTTTGAATGTGGGTTTTAGTGCTCTTCAATAAACCTAAATAGAATTATTCTCTAAAATAATTAGGGAAGCCAATAATTGACCCCATTAAAATTTACATGGGATTTCCTATGTCCCGTCCGACGATGCAACACCCGGTATAGTTGTCCTATTAAATAAAATTATTCATATCAGTAATTGTCACATTTGACAGTTAATGATGTTAACATTCTACATACCATTTGCCAGGGGCGGGAAAGTGAAATAGCAAAAGCGGTTCCACCGTTTCCACGGAAATCTCAAATAAAATAGTTCCAGCCCTAGCCACTAGGTAATAGTGCAATTAATTTTTAGGTTAAGAAGTTGCTACTAGTTATTACCAGATGGCGGTAAATCAGAATTTTTTTGTAGTTTCCATAGTTTCCAACGGCCATTGTCATATTATTGTCAAATTCTCAAAAAATATTGTCGTTGTCATAGCGCCAATCATAATATTATCAAATAAATGATTATCAAAACGTTTTTAAAACTATAATTTGTTCTATGAATTTGTTATATGTGTTTTAATTAGACAATTCCTTTTGTTTCTGGCTCTAAAAATATAATGTAAGTCATTTATTTTGGCCATCATTTAAGTACCTATTTAAATACTTACTCCATTTACAAAACTTTGGGCGTATTACGTCGGTCTTGTTTTATTATAATAAACGATGTTTAAATATTTTACTTATAAATAAGAACTTTAAATAATAAATAATATTTCACATGTTTGGCTTTAATTTTATTTAATAATTGTATATATATATATATATATACTGTTAAATCTTACTTTTTACACATCACAACGATACTTGTTATTAGTATTTTTGAATTTGTGTAAAAAATAATATTTAATAATCAAATTTAATTATTTTAGAGTAAAATTATTTAGTAAATACGCTCATTTAAAAAGCCCGCGCTTCGATCCATTTAAAACAAGCCCTACTCAATAGATGGCGCCACTTCTGTAGGACCATTTTTCAGTATGGCAGAGTCCATTCTTTTTCTACCTAGGTATATTCTTTGCCATTTGCTCCTCGATGTATACGATTTATAATAGAGTTAAAACAAAGAAAATTGTTAAAAAAAGACCATTTTCCAAAGGACTGTGAAAATACACTGATAGGAAACCTGAATAATTAAAATAAATTCTGGTCGACATCGATGAGTCGAAAAAACCTCACTGTACACTATTAATAAACCAATGTCCTTTGTGTAATAGTTTAAAATCTGAAATTTTCTCTCATACAGTCTCTTTGTAACCCGATGCTTTTCCTCTGTGTTTTTCTGTCTCGTACAATACGGAAAAAAAGAAAACAAAATGTAGTTCCGAAATAAAACTAAGGGAAAAATTATTATTGAAGCTGGCGAGCGCCCTAATTTAATTTAGAGTCTTTTTGAAGCGCGATATTTGGTCCATTAGTCGAGTTCCATCGACTCAATACGCTCATCGCGGAACAAAGGACGATTTTCGCACAACCTACGTTAATATTAGCGTTTAATTGGAGTTATTCTTCTATTTAGAAAATAATTTCGGTCCCTTTATTCCTGTTAAGTTTTTTTCCTCAATACTATGGAGATTGCCTCAATATTAAGGCCTATTGTGTTTGTCTCGGTTTTATGTCTGCACTCCGTTTTCTATCCCTGTGCCCTCTACCAGCTGTGCAGGTCCTTGATAGGAAGGGGGCATAGTTTCTCCGGTTCTAGCCTTGCTTTCCCAAATAGAACGTGTCGCTAGCGATCCAGAGTCTCGCAGTGACTTATTATCCTAGACCATATATACTTACGTGGATAAATCAACGCCATAAGTTTAGCATTAAAAAATTTGTCTTCTACATCACGACATGCCATGGCAACCAACCTTTCATTGTCATAATCATATGTCATAATCTTATTTCTATTGTATAACGATGTTTGTTTTTTGTGTTTTTCATTTTAAAAATTGTATTAATTACTCTTTTATCGACCGCTTTTATATAGTCAAGGATGCAAGTGTGTTCAGTGAGAAGTTAATTATTTTAAGTTTGTGCAATTATACTTCTAATTTTTTTCGTTGGACTTTCTAAATACTGGTAAAAATTACTAGAAGGTGTTTGGTGTGTGGAAGTTCTAATATAAAGATCCCCGAATTATTTTTTCATAGGCAAGTAAAGTACTCTGTTACTCTTTTATTTATATTAAACCACGTGCATACGTTCTGGTTAGATTTTCTAAGAATATTGATATTCGTACGGAGTGGCTAAACGTATTTTTTATATAATTTAATTTTTGCGACAATAAACATTCAATTTATTGGTCAAATAAATGCATTTTACAATTTAAATTTTTAGAATTAATGTTCAAATTTGACGCGTGAACGATAGGTCCTCGATAAGGATAGATAGAGCAGAAGCACCGCGTGAGCAATAAGAAAAGAAGATAAATGGAAGTCGTTGATATGTTTGCGACAGTTTCCATAGTGATTTACTTATCCACGAAAGTATATAATATGATCTAGGCTATGTATGCTCTACTGTTTCAAGATCTTTATCGCAGTGTCTGCAGCAAAGACTTAAAGGTAAAGAACCTTCATACAAATTTGTTCAGGTAGCACTTGACATATCTTGTCAAAAGGCTTGGATGGATAGATCGACACGCGGTTTAAAATTATATGTCAGTTTTTTTACGCATGTATACTGTAATTGTTACAGAATTCCCCAGTATACTATTATATCTCTATCATAAATTTAGCTCCTGTTTCTATCTCAATAAATTTCAACTGCTTGGAATCCTTTGACATTTATTTCTGTATTCTAAAAGTAACAGTGTAATAATTTTGTTGGTTCAGTAACAATTTTTTTCCTACATTAGAAGATTTAAAAATGTGAGATGGAAACAAATGTTGCAAAAGAACTAGAAAGAATATTTTTATGGTAATTTGGACGTAACCCAAAAAAATCAGTGCATCAGGTAGAGCAGAATATCAGGTCTGGTCTATCTGATGCACTAATTTCTTATATTCGACAATAAAAAATGATGTGTTTTGGATTATATGGCATGTCAAATTACAATAAAAATATTAAAACACGGACATATTTTTAGACAATTTTTATACTACATACCTTATGGGAGAATTTTCTGAAGGTCTTATACTCCCGTTTCTGTTAACGAGGAACTGGAGATATTGAGCAAGGTCTCCCATTTCCCCATATTCGATAATTGTCCAGGGAGGTTGTTCTCCTGTACACACCTATTAATGGAATGCATTTATCAATATTTTTACTCTTTACTATAACTAATAAAACTTACTCCTAGAACTTTGCAGATATTGGGATCGTTTAATCCAGCCAAAAACCGAATTTCACGCAGCATTTCTACCGGGTCTCCCTTAAATTTCTCTGGATTTGAAGTTCTGACAGCCACCAATCGACAAACACCCGGTATAATGTCGTCCAGGTTCTCCGTTTCGTACAGGGAAAACTAAAAGAAATTATTGAAAAAAAAAAAAGGAAATTAAAAATTACTTATACAAAAGTTGTAGAGAATTTCATTCTCTACAGCAAAAAAAATACAAAGAGTAAAGAAAAAAAACTATTTAAAATATTTATATTCAACTATTTGAGAACACTTTAGTTTTTTAAAACAGATACGTCTACAAAAACCGTTGACGTTCTGTTAAAATAACATTATATCATGTTAAACTTCAAAATTAACAACTAACTACTTGATAACAATTAGTTAATAAGGTAAAACTAAAAAGCCCAAAGTTTCTGTAGGATTATTATGTTCTTAAAAATCAAAGAAGCGATTGCCATACATTACTAACATCTACAGATGCACGAGCAATACATTTATATTTATTAGATTGTATCAAAAAAAGGCTCTTTTATTTCTTTTCGAGGCAATCGCTTCTTTTATTATAATTTTGGCGTTATTAAAATTTATTCTGTGCCCTGTGTCCCATGAATGCTCACAGATCTTAGATTTGTAAAAAATCTCCCTTTCTTAAATAATCTTTATGTTCTTTAATTCAAACATTTAAGGGTCTAGATGTTTCACCAATGCAAAATTTATCGCATTCACATGGTATTTTGTATATTACATTTTTTGTTTGTTGTTCTGTATTCATTGGTTTAGTGTGTGATAAAATGGATCTACATAAATGTATTTTGTATTTTTAAAGATTTTCTTGCAGTGGCAAAATATCCATGGATTTTTTGGAGAGATGAATCCGCCACATAGGTATAGACATTTTTTAAATAGAAATTAATTGTGTCAAATTTTAACTAAAATGGTTGGGCTATAAACCTTATAACTTTAGTATTATTTTTGCACAATGGCCCTTTCTTGTAACGAAATTGCCTACTGATTTACATCCTCTGTTCTTTACACCCAGAAGGCTAACAGCGCTTATTCAGACACATTGAAAGAACTGAAACTGGTTTTATAGTTGGTCCAACTAAACTAGGACAGATTTTGAGTGCCGTTGTTTCGATTTAGCAGAGCGGAAAATTCTAGAGACCCTTGGAAAGGACAGAGGTCTGGAAAAATCGGTCCTTTCCTGTTTAAAAGTTTCTGTTATTTGGTATATAGTGTAATAGCTTGGGATTTCGTTATTCAGTGATTTTATAATTAAGTAGATAACATTGTATTTTGGATTATACCGTATGATTGGAAAAAAACGGCGTCAAAGAGAGATAATGTATTGGTGAGTTCAATCTCTAGACGTAAGTTGTCAAAAATTATAGAAAACACTAATTAGAGAAAGAATAAAAAAGGATAGAACGTTCCCAGACACAAATATATTTCAAAAAATTATGCTTTCTGGAAATTTACTCCAATTACTGTCATTGTAATATATATTTTTTTGTTGAATAGAATATTAAATTAAGGTATAATTGAATTTGTTATATACCTCCCCCGCATGACAGGAACCTAGCTTCTCTACTGGCCTCAACGAATATCTTGGTATGGGCGTTAGTTCCACCTCCTTGCAGTTGTAGGGATGTCCCATGCTGGGAACTATGTTCCAACTTATCAGAGGAGGTGATACCTGAAAAAAGTTTCAAATAATTTAGATTACAATGCGATCCTTTGTACTAGGCAATGGTAGGCCATTGACACAGAGTTATATGGAGGGAAATAGGGAGATTTTTGTTTTGAAGTAAAGGACTGCAGAATATAACATAAGGATCAGAAGAGGACCACTATAGATTTAAAAGTGTCGTAGAGGAACAAGCCACTTATATTTTCTTAAAATCTGATAAAAATTTTCCGAAAAACAGTAATTTTAGGGAAATTTTTGAATCCATACTTCGTTATTTCTTTAGAAGAATATTGGTAGATCATATACACATAGATTATGTTCCGTATACTATGTAAAAGTGTATCAAATAAAGCGTCATCCATATTTTCTCAAAATTCAACAAGGAAACTCCGAAAGAAAGTTATTTTTTCGAGAGTTTTGCTAAAGAATGAACGAAGGGCAAAAGTACGAAGTACGCCAAGTTCAAAATTTATTATTACCCTCTATTTTTCATTACTTAACATCTCAGGAGTCGAGTTTTCATTCCTCGGCCCCTGCTAATGCCCGTTAATTTATCGAGGGACTTTTCTGATTTATTTCGCTTAAAATTACGGAAATTTATGGCGTATCCGCCAGTTATTCGTTAAGAGAGGGTTAAAAATCCACCCTCGCACCCCCTAAATACCTCTAACTCTTTCTAATATTTATTAACTGAATTTGTTGGTTATTAAATTGAACCCGATTATTGATGACGTTACAAGAAATGCAACTAACTCTGAACCTTAGATACTTTTTTGACTCTGTGGGGAATCCTTTTATTTTTTTCCATAGCAACTGTTAAAATTGCCTTATATCTGTCAAAAATAGTAGATAAAATAGTATTTTAACCGTAAGGGTAGATTAAATGATACTTTAACAGCGAGGATAGGTTAAAAACTTTATTTCTTCTCGCACGTTTTTTAATTGGTTCCATTTTTGAAAATTTTTGTATTTCTTTTCATAAGTTATTCGGGATTATAGTTTGGATATGGCGTTTGTCGCCTCAGCCTGCATATCTGTTGGTAATTTACTTATTTCGTTTTGAGCCATTTCTGGCTCCAGTTCAATCAGCAATCGACACGAAAGAGAATTAAAAAATATTGACTCAAAACTGACAACTAAAGAGACAGCTTTATTTATTTGTCAAATTACATAAGAAACCAACGCCAACCCAGCACAATATTTTTTCTACTCGTAATAAATTCCTTGAAATAATAATTTCTGAATATTTTTTAAAACGTAATTCGCTATGGAAAAAATATTGTTTTATACACTACGATAAAATTGCATTATCGTTTCCCGAAATTAATTCACGAGCGATTTCATCTCTAAATAAATTTTTAAAATTAATGTTCAAATTTGGCGCGTGGACGATAAGTCCTCGACAAAGATAGATAGAGTAGAAGCACCGCGGCTGCAACAAAAAAAGCAGATAAATGGAAATCATTGATATGTTTGCCACAGTTTCCATAGTGATTTACTTATCCACATAAGTATATATGATATTATTTCAAGTTTAATTTGATATTCTGTAAGAGATTGCTTTAGCGTATCCTATATTAGTCATAAACGAACCTTTTTAATAAAGATTTTGTTACATCAATGCTACATTTAACCCTTTATCAGGTTGTATTTACCCCGAAACGAAATATTTTCAATTAAACCAGATAGGTACAAAATACCGTACAAGAGATCCAAACAGGAGAGATATCATTTACATTCAAATTTATTCCAATTTACGTTATATATTCTGTTACAAAATTTCCGTCCATAATAGAGCAAAAGGATGTAAATATGGCCTCGGGGAATAATATGGCCGCCAATTCAATTTCCACCCCTAACGTTTACCCTTAAACTGTTACACGAATATAACGTGTCAAAGGGTATCTAAAGCGTTTATTGTTACTTGTACGGTCTTGCGTTACAAAAGTATGGGAACGTTTGTTTTAATAGCTGGTATGTCGTAGGATTAACATAACGATATTTTCGCTCTATATGTTGAGGAATTTGCGTTGGATCTCGTATTGAATTTACAGAAGAATTATTTAAGCAGAATATTTAATGATATAATATCAAAAACTACAATTAGAGCCCGAGATGAGATTATATTAATATAGGAAAAACCATGTAAATAGTATACTAAGGGCTGGCAAAGGTTAGTCTTGGGTTGAGATTTCCGTATGTAAAAAGAGTATAATGCGTTTATAATGTACTGAACAAAAAGAGGACAATAAACACGTTGCCAAACATATTAAATAAACCGAGAAACTGTGCACATCGCTAAGAGACGTGGAAGGGGATATAGCAGATTTGTCGCAGTTGACCGGTCGACCGTCGACCCAATCAATACCTCTGTCAGTACTTAAAGTTCTAGGGAAAGGTGTACGTCATGCGTTCAGCTTGACGATTTAATTACGTCTCGTGATACTTAATTTGTTCATTTATTAACGAGTCGTTGTAATTTTCCCTATAGCTTGAATTTTTTTAAGTGCAAGCTAGAAACACTTGCATTTTGGGTAAAAATAAGTGGAATTAAGTGTTCGATAGTGGTCGCGCTATTAGAACTCTGAATTCAAAAATCGATATTTCAAAATCTATTAGAAATAATAGATTGTAGTTTTTTCAAAAACTTTGTTAATATTTCTGCTGTATTTTCTTTGTAGACATTATGTGAAAATCTTTATCAATAAAAAAATTACACGATTGCTGAAAATTGCTATGCTCTAAAAGTAAATGGATGGATTGTTTACAATTTTTGAATGGAAAAAAGAACCTTATCGAATTTTTCTTATGTAAACATATGTCGTAGAACGGGTTTTAAAATTAATAATTATCCGGATTTTCAACTAAATCCCTTCGAACCGACAACAAGATGGCGACAATGCATTCCCAAGCCGGCTCTTTCTTTTTCTTTTTCGAGACCACGTGCAAGACACCGCGCACCGACCGGCATACCACGCCGACCGCTCATCACCCGTGACTGGGCTTTCCCTCTCTCTCCGCTGCTCAACCATAGAGCATAAAGACTACTAGCAGCCGACTCGGGACCACATTTGCAATCGACATTTCGATTGCGTCACCTTTGTTTCGAAAATACACACAAGAAACTTTATTTAGTAAATACTGATAATATAAAAGATGTTGCCACGTCTAACATTTAATCATTAAATTATAAATTATCCGACACATATTGTAAAATATCCGATCTTGAAAATAAAAAAAAGTTTCAATATCTAAAGTGGTTCTTGAGTTATGGCCCGTTATGTGTTAAAAAGTTGAGTTAAATTATCGCGATTACTGACGTTTTCTCGTTATAAAAAAATGACACCTTAACGATATCCTTATAATTCCATTTCAGATGCTCAGAAACATGTCTAATGATTTTATCTAGTTATCTCTTGAAAAAAAAGTCTTTTAAAAATAAGCGGTTTGCGATCGTGATTTTACTTTACTTGATAGGGAAAGGCGTATCGGCAACGCCGCAACAGCACACCGTCGCGAGTCGCGTCGGTCGGTCGCATTTCTCTCACTTCGACTTAATAAGATCCCTATGCGATTTACTTCCACACATGTAAATGCCGACCCAAAAGTAACAGTTGCCAGCACGGTATTAACGTTAAAGTATCATTTAATTTACACTTGGGGTTAAAGTACTATTTTATCTACTATTTTTGATAGATATAAGGCAATTTTAACAGTTGCTATGGAAAAAAATAAACAAAGACAATGGAAGTTCGATTTTTTTTAGTTTTAATACTGAATCATTGTCTACCACAAAACTACATTTACGTAAGTATCATCAATCTATTCTTCTGCATACTCTTAAAGAACTTGTTATTTCCTCATTTTTTTTTAAACTTTAAAGAATAAATCTATTTTTACAACATGGTGATTGTTCTAATTAAAAAAGTACCCATGGTCGTAAAACATCGAAGGTTTGGGTCGCGACAGTATCTGGAAAATCACTATCTAGTGAACCCTGGAAGAAACTATACTCACTCTATGTTTCTCCCTAGGCGCAGTGTAATATTTCTTAGCTGATCTCTCGTTGTTCTGCTTCGGATAATGGTTCACCAAACTGATAGTTTTTCCATTGCAGTTTGTGGTTGGGGTAGTTTGTAGACTACGGTAGCTCGGTGGTGGTGTAGCTTGAAGACTACGGTAGTTTGGAGATGACTGTAGATCGGGAGAGCTGGGTAATGGGGGTACTTCTGGTGGAGACTCGTCGTTAGGTGAATCCAGAGGGCCTAAAGATGGTTCTATTGCAGATGGACACCTAAGGAAATAGTATTGAAATCGGCTAAAATTTGTTAGGCAACAGGCTACAGATGCTGCTTACCTTAATGTGTTGTAATTAGTAGTATAGTAATTACTAGCCAAAGAAGAACGGTATTCTTCATACGTCATTGGAGTAACTGATTCGATGTAACTATCAGGATGACTCACAGGAGTGATCGGTACACTCTGGCTGGTATTTGGTTGTGCAGTGCCAGTAGAGAAATTCATCAGCCAGTCCTGTATAATATAATATATCTTATATTATTTACAATTTAAGAAAATGCCAGATTGTGACAGATTTATCAAATGAATCTTAAAGTAAAACTGCGAAACAATATATTTATTACATAATTTTTTAACGATTTTTTTGTTTTATTTTTAATTTAATAATTATTAGTAATTAATTGATTTATTTGATTTATAGCTTATTTTACTTATTACATATTGGCAAAAACTAGTCCATTATGAAGATTATTCTAAGCATTATTATGGGTTATTTATTTATTTATTGATACAGAACTTACAACACCACAAGTGGTAATAACAAGTAAGAGGATGTCATTAATGGACAAACTAATAATCACAGAATTTACTAAAAACTAACGTAAAAATAGCTTTGAAAGTGGTTTAATGTGCTTACCAATCAAACTTAGTTCTCTGACTTCAATCAAGGGTAATAACAATGGTAATAAAGCACCTTTATTATTACGTTCTCGTTATCAGGCAAGCTACAAGCTTTTTGCTTCGACTGTTTAAATGCTTCGGCATATTTTCAACACACAACTTTCAAGAAATGCAATACAAAAACTCGAAAATGTAGTTCTTAAAAGAACTGTTTTGGTTTAAAAGTTCAATTAAAAAAAAGACTATGAAAATTGGCAATGAACGAGAATTAATCACATAGATTCACCAATATCACGATATTATACAAAATAATGATTGACATTATGATAATTGTTAAATAATAAACGACAATGTTGCTGAACACGGCGCAATGTGACCAAAATAGCGATAATAAAATTCGATTTAAACTAATTTTTGCAGTTTTAATCTAAATAAAATGTCTGTTACTAGGATTTGCTTTATAAAGTAAAATGAAGAACTGCTCGGTATCTTAAATTATACATCAAATTTAAACATTTTTGCCAAAATTTCATTTAATCTGGTTTAAAGGCTTTAGTGTCAATTTTGATATGATTGATGACGTGCATCAGAAAATGTTTTGCGATTACCATATACATTTTTTATTCTTACATTTCATAACTTGGAAATGTATGAGACACATTTTTTAAATAATGTCTATATCTTTGTGGTTGGTTCATTTCTTGAAAAAAGTCTATATTATGTGAAAAAAGAATACTTTTATGGAATATCAACGGTTTATTATAATACACGTATCTGCTGAAAACTAAAATGTCTTGAATAGTTGTATTTAGACATTTTTGATAGTTTTTTTCTTTTTTCTTTGAGTTTTTTGCTTTTGACGATGGGAGGAGATATACTCCCCAAAACATTAGGTATTTTTTGTCGATTAGGCAAAATTGTTCTTAGTAAAAAAACACTGACAAGTTGGTTTCCGTTTCAGTGGTGAAAAACTGAGATTCCTTTCAAAAATTGAACTCACTACAAATATATAGACTATATTTTTATTATTGTTAATTTTCATAACTTGGGAATGCATGATACTCATTTCTTTACTTTATTTATCCCTGTTTTAAAAATATGGATATAAAAAGTTACAATATTTACACAGTACGAGTTACAGATTTTTATTGAATTTTTTTCATACCTTCATGTTTATTTTCACTCCAAATGGATTTCTGAAAAATGTTGGTGATCCTTGAAGTTTATGTCGTTTGTTTATTATCAATATAACTAAGAATACGACGAATAGCAACAGCATAATAGCCGTCAAAATTCCGATGATGATTTCTATGTAGGTATCACCGTCTTTCCTTGCAGCAACTGAAAATATAAAAAAAAATATAAACATCAAGAAATAATACAGAAAATACATTGCAAAATATAAAATAATTATTGTATATCCGTAGCTATCACATACAATTTATTAATTTACAACAGAAACAATATGAAATATAAAAAATTTACATATTTATTTAAATTTGGAGATGGAGAAAATAATATTTTTATCCACATCTACGTATTGTTTAATTATAAAATTGTTTGTAATAGAAAAATATCTCGGTTTTATATAATAAAATTATATTTATTTTAGATTGTTTGTGCAAACATACTTCACAAAATAAATAACCAGCTGTAATATTTAATTATCTTGATACTCTCTGCTTCAGCCTGTCTATTTATGGATGTATGTAAAATATTTTATGCAGTGTTTGAATTCCAATCCAGAGAACACAAACACAAATAAATGTAATATCTCTAAAACTCTAAAATTTAAATTACTTTGTTGAAACAGATATATTAATAATAGCCTTTCAATACGTATATGATTAACGTATACCGACTGTGCTAACCCATACATTATACCCATTTTTAGTTAATACACAAATTTACAAAGTTAATACACGAAGTTATATCAAGCAAAGTAGTGTCTGGCTTCGTATTTGCGGTACGACTGCCTTCAGTTGATGCATGTCGTTGTTGTCTACCTCTTCTTATGCCATGGATCACGGATCGAATTGACTAATTCTATGAATGTACAGTACGACCGAAAAAAAAACGGAGTCAAATTGGCTTGGAAATGAACATCAACAACATTCCCCATATAATTTTACATATAATATCACAGCGATCTTCATTTCATAACCATCGCTGACGCCATTGTTTTTCGATCTTCTTGTATTTATTTTAATTTATGTCACTATCAGGTTTCCACACTTACAAGATACAGCTTGCTATCCTCATTTAAAGCTGAGTGGACTTAGGTACAAAAATTTCATTCGCTTGGAATGCTTATACGAAGAATATAAAATATACCTAATTAATATCAGTATATAACCATGAACATTATTATACATCACTACCCATAATTTGTATTGAATATTTTAGCCCCTAGGGGAGTTCGTTCTGATCGGTATTTTAAGTGAAATAAAGTGATCAATTTGCGAGACGATGCCGCCAGAAAATCGACAACGGCGATAGTCGATTTTGTCGTCATACCTGAGTGATAGGGATGTATAAAATATATCGATATATAAAAATATTTGTATCGATATATAATTCTCTCGTCATAAAAACAAAAAATAATTTCTAGGTTGTCATTTATTAAAAATGTTTATCAACGAAGATCACATACCTATGATTATTATTATACATATTATAATGATTGTATTATTTCATTAAATTATGAAGGTTTCTTTTTCACACTTTTTTTGTTTAAATATTTATAGAATTTTATCTATTGATATAATGAAAATTTGATGCTGTATCAATCATTTATAATAACGTAACTCATATTTAAAGAGTCGGTCTCGCCCATAAACGGTTGCGTAGAAATTTGTAAGTACAGGGCGGGCCAAATTGGACGCTTTTAAAGGGAAATACCCTTTTCTATAGGAGATAGACAAAAACTAATATCGGTATCTGAGCTCAATTTTTACCAAAAACATGATGGTGAAAACCGCACATCGATATCTGATACCGTTTAGGACTTACGGGGTGTTTTAAAAAATGTGCATGTTTAGCAAATCGCAAACTTTTTTACTATGGAAAATTTTGTATTTTATGAAAATATTTCCAAAGCACCTTTTTTACGTAGAATTTAATGGTTTAAGTAGATTTTTTTTAAAATTAATATTAATTTAAGAGTCATCAACAGAAAAAATGATTTTTTATATGGAACACCCTATATATTTTTAATTAATTGAAAATAGTTTAAAATTACCTTTCCCAAAATATAGCACACTTAATATTTTGCTCGATTCCTCTTCGAGACATAGAGTTTATAAAAATTCGCCCACTTTGAACAAGCAGGCTTTGAACGACGCCGGCTCTAATGCAAAAAAATTCTAACTGTGAGCAGCAATTAAAACGAAAATAACATTTGCAATGAGAGATGCAGAATTTTAAAACAATTTAAACTATATTTAGCAACATCAATACATTTAAACTATATCTAATAACAATAAAAATAAATAGCAAACTAAGACGTGAGAGTTTGCTACAGGGGTTCGACATATCGACCGTCTTCTGTTATGGACAGTCGGGACCGTTTTTGAACATTTCTCGCGGAATTCATTAACTCAGTGAAGGTGAATAAGCTCCTCGCATAATTGCTAAGTACTTCTAATTTTTGTTTAGAATATACGAGCAATTTAAAAATAAGAACCTTTATTCTTCCGCAAAGATAAAAATCCATAGGCACTAAGTCTAGTGGCTTCGGCGGCCAACGGCTGGGATCTTCGTTTGCTATTCAATTATTTTTTTATTATTCAAATTTGCTGATAACTTCAGCGCCCTGAGGCGGTGCCTTGTCTTGCTGGAAAAATATGTTTTCGAGTTCCATTAGGCGCAGATCATCAATAAGGGGTCCAAAGCCTACTAGTTAAAAGTGGCAAACTTTAAAAATTCTGTATTTTGAAGGGGACTATAACAAACTATCAAGTGTGCTATATTATTGGAAAGGTAATTTTAAGTTCTTATTAGGTAATTAACAATATACAGGGTGTCCTATATAATAAATCAAGTTTTCTGTTGATAACTCCTAAATTATTAATTTAAAAAAAATATACTTAAACTATTAAATTCCACGTAAAAAGGTGCTTTGGAAATATTTTCATAAAAATATAAAATTTTCCATAACAAAAAAGTTACAGCGATCTATTAAAAATGCACATTTTTGAAAAAAAACGTAACTTCGAAAGTGTAACAGATATCGATGTGCGGTTTTCACCATCATGTTTTTGATCAAAATTGAGCTCCAGACATCGATATTCGTTTTTTTCTATCTCATATAGAAAAGGTTGTTTTTCTTTAGAAGCACCCAATTTAACCCATCCTGTACATATTATAAATAGTTCAGGAATCAAATCTCGCAATTTTTTCTCGAGAAATTCAGTTTCCAAAACCTATATTTACATATAAGAAATCGTGGTTATACTAACAGTTTATACCTAAATTAGTTAGGTAACCTAATCAAAGTTGTTTTTTAAATCGAGAATTAACAAAATAGAAATATCGATACTTTTCTAAACAAGAACAACCCTACTGGAGCGATTCGGATCGATCGCGCCAGGTAAATTAAATCAGCGCCGAGCGCGTCGCCCGCTCTTGCCAAACTATTTCGGCTCGCCTCACCTTTAAATCGGAATTTATCGACGAAGAATGACGGAAAAATGATGAGCGAAAGACGAGCGGGGCAAAAAAGACCAATCAGCGATGACAAAAACGAAGTTTGAAAGGGGTCGATTTAACTTTATTTTGGACTGACTTAAAAGTTCTTATTGGATTTATCGAATCCGGAAATATACTTAGTTCTAATAGAAATACGAAATTTTGACAGTACGTAATCAATTAATGTTACAATTTACAATATACAGATCTTTTAAATTAGTTAAAATCTTGTGGTTATACTATGTGGTGATCATGAAGCAGTTTTAACTGAATTTTCGATAAAGTCCAAAATCAAAAATGCCCCTCGTAAATTATGCCGTATTTTTTCAGAAAAGAATGCTCAAAAGTTCAGCCACTTATGTAAAACAACCAACTGGGATACTAGCTCTTATGATGTCGACACCGAATTTTCTATTTTCGTAAAAACATTAACCAGTCTAGCGTTCAAATCCTTTCCTCTTAGGCCTATAAAAATAAGCATAATAAACCTTGGACCACTAAAGGTCCACGCATATCTTCTAAAAAATGCGTTCATTATCTCACTTAAAAAAATTCTCAGACAGTCTCTTCTTCCACAATTACGTAAAACTATACAGAAAAATTTATCATAAGACTATAAGAGCCGCTAAGGACCTTTATTATAATAGGAGAATAGTCAATTCTGGTAATGTTGCTAAGGAAACATGGTCTATTGTGAATGAGTTGAGAAACAAAGCTTTTCTTCGTCTAGCAATATCTCTACCTCGCCTGAGAACCTTAACGATTACTTTGTAAATGTAGCGAAAAACTTAACTAATACCATATGTCCTCCTCATGATCCACTTTCTTATCTCTCTAATGATAATGTAAACTTACACAGTTTCTTTTTTTCGCCCGTAGTTCTTGAAGAGCTTCGGAGTACAATTAATACCATCAAAAATAAATCCTCTTCTGGGACCGACGGGCTAACTTTAAAAATGTTTTCGAATCTGCCAGAAAGCACTCTGAATCACCTAACAACTTTAATAAACATGTCGTTCCAAAATGGTGTTTTTCCAAAATGTCTTAAGACGGCAATAATCATTCCTCTGCACAAAGGAGGAGACAAAGATGAAGCTTCTAACTATCGCCCAATTGCACTCCTTCCAACGCTATCTAAGATCATAGAAAGGTTGGTTAAAAGAAGGCTGGTATCTTTTCTGTTTAAGTACGAAATACTTACTGAATATCAATTTGGATTTCTAAGCAACAAGTCCACAAATGACGCTATGTTTTCCCTCCTTAATAAAGTTTACTCCAGCCTAAACAACCATCATTCTACAGCAACAATTTTCTGTGATTTTTCTAAGGCGTTCGATTGTTAATCATAAGATCTTAATTAATAAACTGCAGCACTATGGGTTCAGGGGATCATCTCTCGGATAGTTTAAGTCGTATCTGAGCAACAGAAGTCAACTTGTGAGGGTGGATACCACGTTGTCTTCTAGAAAGCCAATAGAATGTGGAGTACCACAAGGCTCAGTACTAGGCCCTGTTTTGTTTCTTCTTTTTATTAACGACATTGCTAACATAAACATCAGTGGCAAAATATGTCTTTTTGCGGACGACACTAGCTTCACTTGGAGCAACAAGGACATCGCGGCACTTCATAGGATTATATCAAATGACTTAAT